TTTTTTTTTTTTTTTTTTTTTTTTTTATCTGTTGATTAGGGCCGGAGGAAAGTATTGTCGGGTTGGTTTCCTACCTACGTTTCCCCCCACCCACTCCTTTGCATGCATTTGCCGGGTTGGTACAAGGACACGTCAGCAGTGCCACGTCAGACACAGTGACACGTCAGCAGGCCATGTCAGCAGTGCCACGTCAGACACAGTGCCACGTAAGCAGTGCCATGTCAGACAAAGTGCCACGTAAGCAGTGCCACGTCAGCAGTGCCACGTAAGCAGTGCCACGACATACACAGTGCCACGACATACACAGTGCCACGTAAGCAGTGCCACGTCAACAGTGCCACGTCAGCAGAGCCACGTCAGCAAACATGACGGGCCTGCCAGGCCAACTGGCCAATGAGCCCATTGCCGACTACAAAAAGCGTTTCCAAGCTCAGCTCGCTACAATCGAGGCTGAGGAACAACGCCAGCTGGCAGTCACGGCTGCCCAGCTACAGGCTGAAGAAGCAGCAACAACAGAGAAGCTGCGGCTATAGGCCGAAGCAGACGTAGATGCCCAAACTCGCCGCAAGGAAGCCCAAGATTTGTCGCTGCGGCATAAAGCCAACAGCATCGACAGACTCAAGTACTGGCATTTTGAACCGAACGACGACGAGGCAACACCGGAAGGGCAGCATAAGGAGTTTTTGGCCAAGCTCGTGACCAGGCTGGTTTACACATGCAACCACCTGCAGTCCGAGCTAGCAAACCTTCAGCGGGTGCGGAACCATAAGACTCAGCACGAGGATGCCGCACGGGCACTGGACGCCCGTGTACTGGACCTGGAACAGGCTGTACCAGGACCAGCTGCTGGGGCTTCCAGCAGTGCATCCTTTAGCCGCCAACTGGAGGAATGCGTTGACCACGTAGTGGCAATGCTAGGAGACATAAGTGCCTTCACAGAGCCGGCCACCATCAGCCAGCGGTTCGAGTTGCTGGACACCAAGCTCAGTCAGCAACAGCAGACCGACCACAGCCACAACAACAGCTCGGCGAGGCCATACAAGATGCCGACGTTCCGGATCGAAAAATTTGATGACTACACACATCAAGACCCGGTCGTCTGGTGGCAACGATTTACAACGTAGTTGGGGATCCACGAGGTCCTTGACCATCTGTTAATCAATGCTCTGTTCATCAACACCAAGGGAGGATGTCAGATCTGGCTCAACCACATGGCAACCATCCACGGCGTCCAGGTTTCAGACTTGCATAAGAAGGTCTCCTGGGAGGATATGACAAAGGAATGGAAGAAGAGGTTCATAGTGGATGACGCACCCGCGCTCGCCATCAACCGCATCTTTGCGATGGCTTAAGGAAGCACATGGACACGTGACTGGCTCACAGATTGGCAGAAGATCGTGGCCACGCCCGATCTGGACTTGCCATTTCCGCATCTGCGCCGTGAGTTCTACAACAGGTCATGCGCCGCTCTCAGCCTCGCACTTGGTGATCGCGAGCAGTACAACACTTTCGCAGAGATCATCAACAAGGCAAGAGAGATCATCAAGACCAACAGGGCGGCGGCACACGAGAAGTCAACGTGGCAGCCAACCTATGTGGAGAAGGTACGAACTGGTCCGCGACAGTAGCAGTTCGCTGCAGTCCTATCGGACAGTGGAGAAGACCCACCAGCCACTCCAGCATCACGTGAGGGAGATCAGGTGGCTGCTGTCCAGCCGCGAAGCAACAAGCCCCGACTGAACGGGGAGGCGAAACCAGCATTGCAGGCTGCAAACGGACAGCCAGCACCACCATGGCTCAAGTTCGGCTTGACCGAGGCTGAGTACAAGTACCGCAACCGTTACGGTTGCTGTTACTGGTGCAACAGCACCAAGCACAAGACCTCCATTTGCCAAGATCAGGCCAAGGAGGATGTGCGGCCTCGTCTTAACTCGGGAAACTGAGTTGCGCAGGAGGTGAGGCGACTCCACCTCTCACTCCGCCAGATTCGGCCACCTTGCTAGCGGCCTCCTACACATCTGGGGAGGATGCGCATGTCGCAAGTCCTCGGTACACTTACGAGGATTATGCTGTCCACTTGGTCCCACCGGTGGACTAACCGCTCCACGTGCAACCATCTACCGCATGCACGGTTTCATCACCATCGGCAACCGATTCGGCAACTTTGCCGCTATCTATCGCCGGGGATTCATCGTCGTGGTCAAGACTTAAGGTGCTCGACCCACTGACGTTCACGGATGTCTAGTGGATGCCCGTTCCCCAGACCGGACGATTGCCGAAACCGCATTGCAATGTGCTCATGGCACAACTGCGAGATTACTTGCACACTGCAGTACCAGCTCCGTTGATGGACGCCGGAGTAGAGGTTGTCGACCTTCACGCTTACATTGCGAAGATCGACCGCGAGTTCAAGAGGCAACAGTACGACGACATCGACGCACCATTGCTATATGTACGCATTCAGATCGGAGAGGCGACCTGCAACGCCTTGATCGAATGCGGAGCATCTCGCAACGACATCAGCCAGGACTTCACGGTGCGCGCCGGCCTTGGCCCACGTGTCCGGAGGAAGTCCCAGCCTACGCAAGTCACTTTGGCAGACGATCATACGCACAAGTCCATCGACCGGTGCATTGACGCCGTCGCAGTGTACTTTGCCCCTCACGCAAGTGAGGCGGTGTCCTTTGATATCCTGGACACCAAATTTGACATGATCTTGGGCATGTCATGGCTGCGAAGCGAGGATCACCCGGTGAACTTCTTCCACCGCACCGTTCACATTCGYGATYGGAACGGAGTATTAGTTCCATGCACGGTACCTCTTCCTCATCCTTCGATCAGCTGCCGCGTGGTATCCGCCGCAAGCATGCGAGCATCCATCATCAAAGACGACATCGAGGAGATGGGGGGGTGTTTTCTCCACGCCCTCCCGCCCCAAGACGCGTCATCGACGGACTCATCTTCGGATCCATGCATCACCGAACTTCTCGACGCCTACAGCGACGTGTTCGAAAGCCCGCACGGACCAGTACCGGATCGGCCCATCCGCCACAAGATCATCCTCGAGGACGGGGTCGTACCTCCGCGCAGTTGCATCTACCGAATGAGCGAGGAAGAGTTAAGTGTGCTCCGTGCACAACTCGACGATCTTTTAGAGAAAGGTTGGATTCGGCCTAGCTCATCGCCATACGGTGCTCCTGTCCTCTTCGTCTGGAAGAAGAACAAGGACCTGCGGTTGTGCATCGATTATCACAAGCTCAACCCGCAGACGATTAGGAACGTCGACCCTCTCCCACGCATCGACGATCTTCTCGAGCGACTGGGCGGCGCCAAGTTCTTCTCCGAGCTGGATCTCAAGTCAGGGTACCACCAACTCGAGAATCGCAAGGAGGATCGCTACAAGACCGCGTTTAAGACGCGATATGGGCATTTCGAATGGCTGGTCATGCCATTTGGCCTTACGAATGCCCCGGTCACTTTCCAAGCGGCTATGACAACAGAGTTCCAACACATGCTGGATCGATACGTACTTATCTACCTCGACGACATCCTGGTATACAGCCGGAGTTTGGAGGAGCATGTGGAACACCTGCGCACTGTTTTGGAGCGACTACGACAAACCAAGTACAAAGCCAACCGCGACAAGTGCGAATTCGCGTGGCAGGAGCTAGAGTACTTGGGACACTATGTGACGCCGAAAGGCATCCGTCCGCTTGCGGACAAGATCGAGGCCCTGCGAGTATGGCCCGAGCCCACCAACACCACGGACGTTCGTTCATTCATGGGATTGGCGGGCTACTATCAGTGATTCATCACCGGATACTCAAGGATTGCTGCTCCTATGACGAGGTTACAGTCGCCAAAGGTGCCATTCGTGTTCGATGACGACGCACGCCGGTCATTCCAAACACTTAAGACGGCTATGCTCATGGCACCCRTCCTTAGCATTTATGACCCCACCCTGCCAACACGAGTGACTACGGACGCTTCCGGCTATGGCATTGGGGCAGTCTTGGAACAGCACGACGGCGACGACTGGCACCC